AAAAAAAAAAAAAAAAAAAAAAAAAAAAAAAAAAAAAAAAAAAACAACAACAACAAGACAATAGGCCTGGCTCGGTGATTCAGCCTATAATCCCAGTACTCTGGGAGGTCGAGGTTAGTGGATTGCCGAGCCCGTGGGTTCAAGACCAGTCCAGGCAACTTGGCGAAACCTCGTCTCTACAATAAATAAAAAATTAGCCACGTGTGGTAGTGTGCGCCTGTAGTTCCAGCTACTTGGAAGGCTGAGGTGGAAGATCGCCAGAGCCCAGCAAGGTTGACGCAGGGGTGGTCATGAGTGTGCCACTGCTCTGGAGCCCAGGTGGCAGAATTGAGACTCCAACTCAAAAACAACAACAACAACAACAAAAAGACAACAGACAGGATAGGACTCCATGCTGAGTGAGTCGGACAAATACAAAATGCCATGGAAATCCAGAGGAGAGAATCATCCTAGACTAGAGGGCAACAGAGAGCTTCTTGGAGGAGTCGGCTGGGCTCTGAAGGATAAATATTCTTTATGGGAGCAGCAGGGATGGGAGAGAACTTCAGGCTGAGTGAACAGAGTGGTCAGAAGGGTAAAGGCACGAGCACAGAGTTGGAAGTGTGTGGAAACACACATCAACAGAGGCTTGAAGGGAATGCATGGGAGATGAGGGTGCAAAGGCAGGGTGTGAGGCCCCGCTGCAGACAGACTTGGAGTCTATGATAAGCAACTTGGTCAATCTTCAGAAAGGAACAAGAAGCCTGAGAGTAATCATGGTGGCAGGCACCTGTGGTTCCAGCTACTTGGAAGGCTAAGGCGGAAGGATTGTCTGAGTCCAGCAGGTCAAGGATGCAGTGGTTGTGAGCATGCCACTGCACTCTAGCCTGGGTGACAGAGTGAGACTCCAACTCAAAAACAAAAAAAGAGTAATCAACTGGTTATTGATGGTAACAGGGAACAGAGAGGGAAGAGGAAGACTACACAAAGGGAGACCCATTGAGAGGCTCAAGCAATAACCCAAGAACAAAATGGCAAAGTTCGGGAGATGAGCCATGGAGCTCAGCCAAGGACATATGAAAGGCAACTGTGTCCCCAGGGTCCTCCTTGGGCTGGGAGGGGAACAGACACACTCACTGTTCATTGGAGCTGAGGGCTGGCTTGTTGTCCACCTTGTACAGCTTGTCTACTTCATGTTGCTACAGAGAGAATCCAACAAGACAATGGATATGAGAGTGCCTAAAAGCACAAAGTGTGACACAAAGACAGGGGACTCCAGATGGCTTCCTACTCATGCTAATTCGAGGACTCCCACTGCTTCCAGAGACAACCCCCTTGAACCTACCCCAAGCTGTTAACAGGAAAACGAAAAATAAAAACAGTATAAACAACAGCATCAACCCCCCCTCCCCACCCAATTCAGCAACCCTGCATTTGCCCGAGAAGGGTAGCCATTCTTCAGTAATTTGTATTGTCCATAAAAAAAAAAAAAACTGCTCAAAGAGGAAAGAGGGGCACAAGTCCCTGAGAACCCCCCAAGAAGGACAAGGACAGTACCTTCAGAATGGAGACATTGGCAATTCGATCCAAAGGGCTCATGAGATCTGCCTCAATGAACAAATCCTTTTTTCCAGGAAGCTGAAGGAGACAGTATGCTGGGTCACTCATGGGTCACACAAGCTCCCTCAGCTGAGAACCGGGTCAGCCGCCATCCAACATCAACAGTCCCTGAGTTGGAAGGCGTTGACATCATCCGGCCCGAAGTCTTATTTATTATCTGCATCACAGTTGTATATTTGTCTATCTGCCCTTCCCATTTTCTGTACCAGTGGGAAGATTCCTCAGCTTCTTTTTTTTTTTTTTTGAGTTGGAGTCTCACTCTGTCGCTCAGACTGG